ACGTACTCTATTACAACCAGTAGAAGAGAGTTGATCTGCATTGGATTGGTAAAACTGTTCAAAACTTGCCAGGTATTGAACCACGTTTGTAACCTGAAAAATAACATGATGAAATATGAATCAGGCAACACTTGCAATATTTACTGGTCACTGTTGATTAGGTTTTTGTATCTAGTTCGTAAATTCATTAGCATTTCAATTCCAACAAAAATTTGCCATCCGGGAAATGTCGGTTGAGGATTTGTTTTAGGTAAACATACTGTTGAACTTTCAAGGTAACTAATAGTGCCACAATCGGAACCTAACAGTTTTCGAACTGATCTGGAAAAAATCATTGATTACAACTATTTCGCTTCATTCTACATTTGCTTATTAGAAAATTCATAAGTGGAAAATAAATTAAACTCGTTACTTGAGGAAAAACAGACAATTAGATGGCATGAAAACATTTCAAGAATTCAGCAAAGAGGAGTAGATTGTGGAGATTTCACACTGCATTTGGAAACATGATGAAAACTTCTCCATCTTTATACAAAAAAATGTGGGAATCTTCCAAGGCAAACTCTCTACAAATGTAGTTTATGCAAAGAAATAACTTTCAGGTACAAACTGCAATAAAAAGCCCTCCCTAAACAATTACTTTCAATGACACAAAAGGAAAAAATCTTTCGAAACAACTACTTCTATATGAACATTGGCGGACATCCAATGTTTCGGACAATTGCCTTTTTGCCTCTTCAGCGCCAATCTGAAAGTTACTTCTTTGCATAAGGAGTTGTAGAGTTAATCTTGAAATTATTTGCTTTCTTTCTTTTTTTTTGGAAGATTCTCATACTTTTTTGTATAACAATAGAGAAGTAGAAAGTCAAAACCTTTCTTTTCTAAAAGTAAGTCTTTCCTAGAAATATACCCCTTCCCATTTAGTGACTTATTCGAAATGTGTTCCTGTGGGGGGAAGGGCGAGCGAATATGATGAATCCCAATATTGAATGTGATTCATATGGAATGAAAACAGCCTAAGGGGTGCAGTCAATGACATGGACTGANTATAGTAGACAATGGAAGTCCGAACTAGTGAAATTCACCACGAAACATTGTCAATCACCTTCAAACAATCATCAAAATCTATTTTGTCCCTCAAAGTAGTCCCCCTCAGGTATCATACACTTGTGCCACAGTTTTCTCCAATTCTTTAAACAGTTATGATATGCAGTTTATCGTATATCCTTGAGCTCTCTGGGTGATTCAGTTTTTTCTCCTCAATATTCGCAAAACGCAATCTTTTCATGGGTCCCTTAAATCTTGGGGACAAGAAAAAGTCGCAGGGGGCAAATATGTCACGACGTTTCGATTGTTAGTATCCACAATCGTCTTCGGGTGACAACTGGACTTATTCCTCCGAAATCTGACTATTTATAGGTCATTCAAGTGCTTTCGCCTATCCCCTCTTCCCTCTATCCGCTTCACTGGTTTTAGCGGCAGATAGCCGTTTGGCGGGAGTTGATCGTTTTTCATTTGATTATAGGTTTCCATATGTTACGTAACTCTACGCTAGCTTAACTAAATGCGTTGTTGAACAACATATACGCGGCTTCTTTGAATTTTCTCCTAAACCAGTGTTCCTCTTTGTGAGTGATTTCAGCTTTAGCCCACTTGATATTATGTTGATGAGTCCAAACATGCTCTGCTTTTCCGGATTTGCTGGTTTCTCCTCGCTGTGTGTATTACTTGTGCTCAACAATGCGAACTTTCAATGGCCTCTTAGTTTCACCGATGTATGATTCTCCGCACTCGCAAGGTATCCTGTAAATGCAATTCTTGGAATCGCAGTTCGCGTTTGGTGGCCTGGTTTTCCTGAGGCTGCTGCGGATAGTGTCCCCAGGTCTAAAACAGGTCCTAATGTTATACTTGGACCCAATCTTTCTTATCCTTTTCGATAATCCTCTGATGTAGGGAAGTACAAGTACTGTTTGTGGCGGATTCTCTTCCTTGTGGAGCTCTTGTTGTCTTGTCCCATTTAGTATTGGTCCTCTTCACAATACGTCTAAGAAAGGCAATTCGTTGTGGACTTCCTTCTCCATTGTGGAAGTGATGGAAGGACTTACGTTGTTGATGTGCTTCAGGAAAGTGTATAGTTCTGCATTCCCATGGTTCCATATTATGAAGGTGTCGTCTATGTATCTCAACCAGACTCGGGGCTTCTTATAGGCTTCTTCAATGACCAGAGTTTCAAACCACTTCATATATATTAGCTATAACCGGTGAAAGTGGCGATCCCATTGGCAGTCCCTCATCTTGCGTAAAGAATTCGTCCTTCAGTTGGAAGTAGCACTTTCGTACACAGCATCCTAGTAATTCCATGATTACTTGTATCGGTAAGTATGTTCTATCTTTCAGGTCCCCATCTTCGGATAGCTTCTTCTGTATGATATGAAGTGCTTCTTCGACAGGAACGTTAGTGTAAAGGCTTTCCACGTCGAAACTGATCAGTTGATCCTGCTCTTTAATTTCAATTTCCCCTAATAGTTCAACGAAATGCCTTGAATTTTTCACAAAAGATGATGTTTTACCTTGCAATGGTTAAATTATTGGTAGTGAAAATCTGGACAAGTTTTGAGTGGCTGAATCTCGGTTGATCTTTTTTTTTCAGGGATTTCAAATCAATTTATATTATATTAGACAATGGAAGTCCGAGCTGATGAAATAATAATGTAATTACGGCTTTAATAACAAGCTGAATTCTGGTTGTTAAGAACCATGAGTTTCTTGCCAAAATGAACCAACAAAGAATATACCAAACTACTTATAATAATCACACGAACTGATTTTAGGATTTACCATATGTACCAAAATTTTTTACCATGAAATTATCACTTTCTAAAGGAACCTTCTTGTTTGTCTTTTGGCAACTGTCTCTACAGTGCCTTCACTATCAATTTTCGAGTATTTTTCCTCTCAAACGTAACAAACAAATATCGTCCTCATGGAATCACCTAAAGTAATTTTAGATATGAATTGGTTAATTTATGTCCTTACTCTTCCAAATCCTGTGAGTATCCTCCAGAAATCCAGGTCGCCATGCAGAAACATAAGGATGGTATTCCGCAAGGTAGTAATTCACAGAAAGTTGCGAAATGATCGAATCTTGACCATCCTGTTAAGGCGATTCCTCTCAAATTTCCAATTTTTTTGGAATTATTTTCCAATTCTGTCAGCCAAGCCAGATGATTGCTCAAATGATATTTGACAACTGGTATCAGTTGACAACTACTAGTAGCTCCTTTGAATGCACTAGCAATCCATAAATTTGAAAACACGCTGTTGTACTTCTGCCACAAACCGTCGTTTAGATGAAAACTGTCAGACGGTAAATAATTCCAAATCATTAATATATTATTGTTGCATTGTATTTCTTTTTTTTGTGTTTGTCTAATGTTGTATATATACACCGTTGATTTAATTGGGTTTTATATGTATATTAGGGTTACCTATTTTTAAATAAAGATCTATCTATCTATCTATTTATGCCCGTATTCGCCGTATACCAGTAAGCGAAGCTCGCTTACCCCTTAATGATGAACTAGATGGAACTAGAAGATGAAATCATGCTGGAAGACAATAATGGCATCTTACACATCATTGATTTTGGATATCCACGAAGAATTTTTAGGAGGCCCAACTATTTCGAGGAAATGGATGATATGGCCTTTTATAGAAGATTCGGACTGACCAAGCTGACAACACTACATGTGCTGGAGCTCATAGAAGATGCTTTAGAATTCAAAAAAGATTTGCAAAGAAACATTCAATTGTTTTTACTTTTTTTAATACAGTCACATAAGATATAACTGACCACATGTAAAATAGAAAATTTATAAGTGGCTTTATAGTATCTGTTCAACAATTTTTTCATAGGTGCTTCCAAACAGGTTATAGACGATATACCACAGGTTAATAGTAACAACTTTGATCATAGCCTCAACAGAAATCTTACTTCAATGGTCGTACTTCCTTTCACCGAAGAAGAAATGCTAAATATATTCTCTAAACGGCGAATACGAGCATTAGGGAAGCAAATAGCAACATATTTAAATCTGCCTGATCCGAATTTATATACAGAGAATTGTTTTCAAAGGACATCTGCAATGAATACAGGTGATACATTTTCGATCTCCAAGGAGTTCGAGTGCTTCTTTGCACAATTTTATGCTGCTGGAATCAATCAACTTATGTAACATTGGCAAAATTGCACTAATTCAAATGGCGCTCATTTCGAATGAACTGAATGATTATTCGCTGAGATATAAGTTTGAAGTAGACTCTATAACAACGGACAAAACTTTTGAAACAGCCTAATAAAATATATGGGCCATTTGTAAATGTGAATTGTTTATGTTTGTCCTTACTACTAGTGCTGCCTCTCGTGGCACGTTCACTGTACTATTCTCAGGAAAAAGGCTCATTGTGAATTTTTGAAATCAAATTTTAACCCCAGATCACCAGATCTGACCAAAATTTGTGAAATATCAGTTTTTCGTATAGTATACCTTTGATAAAACCTAACCTAACCTAACCTCATTAATATGAGGTTTTATAAATGATATAAAAAACATTTTTCTTCCGGATATCGATTATCCGACGTACAATTCGCAAAACAACAATGCTTTGTTGGCATTATACTAGCACAAAATAATTTTTTATATCAGATTTATATTTTTAAATNGTTTTTTGTATCAAGATGGAGTAGTAGAAAGCCAAAAACTTTCCCAAAAATTAATCACTCCTAAAAATATAACCCCTTCAATTCAAGTATTTATCTATATGACTGCAAAAAATGGAGCAGTTCGAAAAATTGTTTCCTCTAATAGGAATGAACCGAGAGAATCTTGTCGACTCACCCTGTATAATGACATTATATTGTTAACCTCTTTGTTAAATCATCACAAAATCTGACTGAGTTTTTTCTATAGTTTGTCTTTCTTTTTAATAAACTACTGTCAAGCTCTGTGTGGTCGCTGTTTTTTTAATTTATCAATGCATGTTTTATTGCATTTGACACTTTTTTTGTAAACATTGTATCTCAATATTTTAATGGAAAAGGCACTATTATTATCATAAATTCATGTGCTCTCTTGCACGGCCACCCAGAGAGAGTTGTCTTTCAATATCTGTCTTCATTTGGTTTAAATGGTGTTCGACTGGAACCATCAAAGTACCAAAAAATTCCTCTAAAGTATGATTGAAAAATACTTCCTCCATATATTTCTTCAGGTGCTCTTTTACTGTAGACATTTCCCCAAGTAATCTGAAATCATGAATAAATAATAGAAATAATCATCGCAGAAGAGAAAAAAAATGACATTTTGTTTGTAAACTGAACTTTCTGTTTGGTATGAAGTTAAATGAGATTTCAATTCAGTTTCTTACACAAAATTTGATGAAAATTCTTTGATCCATTTTTTTCGATAGCAGAAAATCGCCGAACACGCAAAACACTTCTAACTTTTATGCCTCTCACCAACAAACTAAACATGCTACAGAGCTGAAACTGTGATCATATGTTCGAGACAAATGTACTAACTTAAAAAAAATCGCTAATCGAACATACAGGATGTTTCAAATTGGATCCTCACCATTGGGATCTCGGAAACTATGAGAGACACGAAGACTAACAATATGCAGTTAAGAAAGTTCTGAGTTTGCGAGTATATCCGGAGATATCCGGAAAAAACTGAAAATTCACAAAATTATTTTCATTTTTTTCTGCCTTTATTTTTCGAAGAATTCGAAAATAAATTGCACTTCCACATTGCCACTTTTTTCCTGCTACACGGTGGTGTTTTCAAATTTGCTATCCTACGTTTTGTTTTCCAACCAACATCATCAACTTTATTTTTTCTTATGAGCGCTACATTGGATTCTTTCTGTTTAGAATAAAACCAGATTTTACCTTTTCATCATTATTTATCATTATTTTTCGAAAAGTTATTTGTTATTATAATAGGCTTTGATTTTGATGTTTCTAAATTTGACTTTCAATTTGTTACACACAATGACATTTTGTTATTGATTTCATTGATTTCATTTCATTGATTTCATTGAAGTCATTGATTTTTTGACGAAAAATCTTTCACGAGTGAAGGAAAAAGAGATCCTATAATACAAATTTATTACAAATACGATAGAAACAGTGTTAGGACATCGGAAATGTATTAAACTCGTATCCCGAAAGACGACAACCAAATCGAACTATGATCCAATTATTAGATCAAAATCTCACCGACTCTGGTTTGTTTGAAAAGCCCATTAAAAAATACGGAAACAGAATCAACAATCAAAATTTGATAAATGAGGTATGTATGAGGTAAATTAGACATTGTGTTCTTTTCAATGATAATAGAACTTTGGACAAATAACAATAATCAACTAAAATGTAAAGACANAAAGCATTCAAAGTCATGTACAAATTCAATTTGATTTTACAAAGGGAAGAAGAAGCAAAATTTTGGTTAGATAAAGCGGACCAATGGAAAAATAGTATAGAAAATATTTTCTACAATGAAGAAGACGGTATTTGGTAAGCAAAAATTCAGATATAAATGTTATAAGTTTCAGTGTGTGAATCAAATAGGTGATATATTTGTGTAAAACAAGGTTGACACTGAACATGTCAGTCTCGAAACGTTGAAGTGCGTGGAATGTGAAGATGAATGTTCAAATTTCGCGGGCCCTGGACGCACCAGCACATGAACAACCAATGAAAATGTTGAAAAAGCTATGGAGAATTAGAGAAGTTGCTGACGATCTCGGCATGTGAAGTGGCACATGCCATGAATTTTTTTTTGGAATTTTGGGCATGAACCGTGTGGCAGCGAAGTTCGTTCCAGAATTTATGAATTTTGTCCAAAAAACCGTCACAAGGGCATCGCTCAGGAACTGATGAATGACGCCAACGGCGATCCAGATTTGCTCAAAAGGGTCACAACTGGTAAAGAATCATGGGAATATGGTTATGACATCGGAACCGTTCAATCGTCCCAATGGAAGACCCCAGAAGAGCCAAGACCAAAAAAAGCACGCCAAGTTCGACCAAATGTCAAGGTTTTGCTCACTGTTTTCATTTATTTCCGTGGCGAAGTGCATCAGGACTCCTGGCCACATGGTCGTACGGTCAATAATGAGTATTATCTTGAATTTATGAATCGCTTGTTCGTAACTTTTTGCCAAAAACAACACAGTAATCATGCCTCAGCCATCCATTCACCAGATTTGACCCCCTGCGACTTTTTCCTGTACTCAAGATTGAACAGACTCATGGAAGGAAGGCGTTTTGCGACGACTGAGGAGATGAAAACCGAATGCAAAAGTCATACACTGTGTTTCCACAATAACGTTATTTCCGAACTGCTTCTCACAAGCGGCGCATAACTTCAAGATATACGAGGGTGATCCAAGAAGTACCCGGCCCAAGAAAGAAAACACAAAAATTTGGGAAAAAAATTTATTCATTTTTCAACATAATCTTCTTGCAGCTCTGTACACTTCTTTCATCGACGTTCAATAAGTTCGATATCGTTTTTTGATAAAAACTGTCTTGCTCCTCAAAATAGCCATTAACTGCCGGCATTACTTCGTCATCGTTGGAAAATATTTGACCATTGAGCTATTTTTTCAAGTTTGGGAACAGAAAATGATCCAAGGGGACTAAATCTGGCTAATAAGGTGCATGATGTAGCAATTCAAACTTCATTTCGTAAATTTTAGTCATTGCGATAATGAGTTTGTGAGCTGGTGCATGTCTTAATGAAACAACACTTTTTCTCAACCAACTGCGTCCGTTTTTGGTTGATTTATTCACTCAAACATTGCAGAAAGTTCGCATAATACACGCCGTTGATAGTTTTAATTTTTTTAAGATAGTCAATGAAAATATCCCACGCGTATCCCAAAAAACCGATGCCATGACCATGCCTGCAGATGAAATGGTCTTCGCGTTCTTTGGAGTCGGTTCTCCCTTTTGAGGCCACTGTTTTGATTGTTGTTTTGTCTCGGGTGTAAAGGAATGATTATGAAACGACGCAATAATTCTGCTTTGTTGCTGTGCAACTTTGCTAAACACTCAATTGAAACATCTTCACGACACTGTTTTGCTCGATTGTGGGCAAACGCGGCACCCATGTTGCACACAGCTTTCTCATGCCCAAATTTTCATTATATTTACCGGGTGTCCCACCTTTTATGTGACAGGCAATATCTGGTTTGTTGAAGGAGATACACAAAAATGTTTCATACAAAAGTTTTAGGAGTTCATAATTAATATCCATATAGAACAATTCATTCACATCTTTCTGTACCATGAATGTTATTTTCTAAAAGAAAAAGTGGTTTCATGATATACCTTGTAATATTTCGACTTCAATATTTCTGAACATGTCATCCCAAACAATAATCTTGAGACCTGGGTAGTTTTCCTTGACATAATGGCCAATTTTCGACATGTGGTCAAGATATAGCCTAGACTTACCAAACTGGGATGTTTGGATTCGTTTTTCACAGATAGAACACATCCCCATATGCCAAACCTGAAAAGGAATATCACAAAATTATGATTACACAACATACTTCTTGTCCGTTAAGTTGAAAAATTGAAGAAATTATTCATTTAAAAAATATTTTCTCTATTCTATATTCTGATTGAAACACTTCAAGAGGATCACTTTGTGACTGAAACACGTGTCGAGGTGTTGAAAATAACGGTTTGGTGTGATTGAAACACTTCAAGAGGATCACTTGGTTATTGAAACACGTGTCGAGGTGTTAAAAATGAAGGTTTGGTTTTATTGAAACACTTTATTGAAACACGTGTCAAGGTGTTGAAAATAACGGTTTGGTGTGATTGAAACACTTCAAGAGGATCACTTGGTGATTGTAACACGTGTCGAGGTGTTAAAAATAATTGTTTGGTCTGATTGAAACACTTCAAGAGGATCACTTGGTGATTTTAACACGTGTCGAGGTGTTAAAAATAACGGTTTGGTGTGATTAAAACACTTCGAGAGGATCACTTGGTTATTGAAACACGTGTCGAGGTGTTAAAAATGAAGGTTTGGTTTTATTGAAACGCTTTATTGAAACACGTGTCAAGGTGTTGAAAATAACGGTTTGGTGTGATTGAAATACTTCAAGAGGACCACTTGGTGATTGAAACACGTGTCGAGGTGTTAAAAATAACGGTTTGGTCTGATTGAAACACTTCAAGAAGATCGCCAAGCGATCCCCTTGAAGAGGATCACTCGGTGACTGAAACACGTGTAGAAGTGTTGAAAATAACGGTTTGGTGTGATTGAAACACTTCAAGAGGATCACTTGGTGATTGAAACACGTGTCGAGGTGTTAAAAATAAGGGTTTGGTCTGATTGAAACACTTCAAGAGGATCACTTGGTGATTTTAACACGTGTCGAGGTGTTAAAAATAACGGTTTGGTCTGATTGAAACACTTCAAGAAGATCACCAAGTGACCCCCTTGAAAATGATCACTTGGTGACTGAAACACGTGTCNCGTAACGAATAAATAAACACAGTAGAAACTAGACAAAAATATTTTCTCTATTCTATATTCTGATTGAAACACTTCAAGAGGATCACTTGGTGACTGAAACACGTGTCGAGGTGTTGAAAATAACGGTTTGGTGTGATTGAAACTCTTCAAGAGGATCACTTGGTGACTGAAACACGTGTCGAGGTTTTGAAAATAACAGTTTGATGTGATTGAAACACTTCAAGAGGATCACTTGGTGATTAAAACACGTGTGGAGGTCTTAAAAATAAATAACGGTTTGGTGTTGAGATTAAGCTCAAGTAATATTCAACACAGGATTACTCTCACAGATATTTGTGTTACCTAACAAACATTATAAACAATGGCGTACCTCGTCACCTCCCAAGTGAATATACTGAATACTCGGATGAAATTCAATCATTTGTTCAAGTAGACTTGTGATCAGCTGAATTGTTCCGCTTTTGCTCGGGCATATGGAGCTAGGAAATTCCTCAACTTCCCTCAAACTACGCCAATTTTCATGCTTTAAGACGAACTCCAAGTGACCAAATGTTTGCAACAGTGGAATTACTATCAAGTCACAGGCAGCAGCTGCAATAATATTTTAGTGAGGTGTAGTTTTTGAAATTACTATGGATCTTCATCAAGTAACGGCTGAATAAATCAGAAAAAAAAAGTATTTGTCATTTGCGTAGATATTAACTACACGTTTTTGTAGGTGTTTTTGGATGTTTGAGACTATATGGTGAATACAAAAAACTGGTATCACGGAGAGTGCAAGTCACTGTATACTAGCTGTTAGTTGTGCGTGCTATTCATCTTCAAACAATAGTTGCACGTACGTTGAATGAAAAATGTGAAGCAATTGTTATTTTTGGTGAGGCTCATCGCAATTATCATGAGGCTGAGTGAAAAAATTTTATAAGAATGGCAGTGTGCAGAATAAAACACGTTCTGGGCCATCAACTACAGGGGAAGATGAACAAGTGGACATTATGAGCGAGTTTGTGAATAATCCGTCCTCATAGAGTGGAACTGTTGCCTTGAATCGAGGTTTTGCAGATGACGGTGTTGAGGGTTCTGAAAAAAATCATCCCTACAAAATAAAAATGATAAATGACCTGACGGACGATGATCCAGACCGCCTTCTAGAATATTGTGAAATTGTCTCTAACTGATGAGGCTACTTTTTTTTAAACGGTTACTTGCATAGACAAAATTTGAGGTACTGGTCAGATGAAAATCCTTGATTTTTTCGCGAAACTCATACCCAGTTTCCCCAAAAAGTTAATGTGTGGACAGAAATAGTGGATGACCACATTATAGGTCCAGTATTCATTGAGAAAAATCTGACTGGTGCCCTCTACTTAGAAATGCTGGAAACAGTGATAGATCAGCTAATAGTGGCAACTGTCGAAAATAATTTAGACGAATTTGACATGGACCTTATTCTGCAACAAGATGGAGCTCCTGCTCATTTTGCAGTTGCTGTGAGGACTTATTTGAATACAAAACATACATAAGCATTTGCTATAGATTTTCATCGTTGGAAATGTGGCAAACACTCCCCCTGTCTAGAGTTTCTATTGGTGATAAGGTCAATCTGGATTTCTCTTCATTAAACAAACCAAAATTTGAGATTGTCTTACACTCTCTCAGAAATTAATTATAAATGAAAATAAACATTAACTTCCCTAATTCTTGAATCTTCATATCCTCATCGTTCATTTAATCCTAATTTCAATTCTCGCATATCAGTAAATTTATTTTTGTACAACTGTCATTAAAAGTAACGTTTTTAATGGTTATCAAGAATATTAAAAGATGATGTTTACAAAGTAGTATGTTAAAAATATTTTAGGTATCAAAAGTATTTTTAGCATGATTTTTTTCGACCAAATAGCAATAAACAAAACATAATTATTCAGTTTTCAAAGAAGTTTTATTATGAACAATAGATATAGATACAATTAAATATTTTTTATTTTTTCGGCCTATAACTTTCATTTTTTCGCTTTAAGAATGCTATTACCTCGAAATTAACACCATTTTTAACGAGAGTACTCAACTTTATCATTGAAAACTTGCTCCACAAAGTTGACGAGTTCCATATTTTTTATTTCTCCTCTACATAGGCTAAGAAGATGGTTTCGCTGAAATTTCCTTCGACGTTGTTAAGTCTACACAAGCTAAGAAAATTAGAATATGTGATGTACTGCTGAGCCGATTTTTTGGTAACAATTCACTTGAAGTTCTTTTTGCAGCCTCTTTAATATCATCAGGAACATACAATTCCTCACTATTGTTCTTCATTATGCAAGACATTAAACACCATCAAGAACTTCAAATGTTAGTTTCACTTTTGGCAAGTAAGTTAGATGTAATTATGCCTGTATTCATATAATTTATTGTAAAAAACTGTTGAACTAAATTGGGTGTTATCCGTTAATAAATAAATAAATATTATTAAGGTTTGAAACACAGATCTAGAAATACAATCATCAGTAGGCATTTTCAGTCAATTTGATGTTACACCCTTCAAACACTCATAAACTGAACACTCACCTATAGTCAGGATTTGCTTAGCCTCTTCCATAGAATAAGGGGCTCCACTTGTCTGAGCATGATCAGACAGACTGCCGATATGAATAACATCTTTTGTGTATGGAAAGGTATCTTCCCATTCTAAAAGTATGCCTGTGGCTCCAATATTTTTAATAAATGGGAGAATCTGAAACGAATTTAATTATATGTATTTAACGAAATCATCTGAATTTATCATAAATTTCTCTGATTTCCGTTCAAAATTCTTAATAATATAGATAGATAGAAATATACTTTATTTTCCAAGAAAATACTATCTCATTGACAAAGCTTGTAAAAAAACCTGGTATGTATAGCACTTCAAAGAATAAAGGAAAAAAAACAATTTAAAAACCCAAATAAGCAGAAACCCAATTTGAGCAAAACTAAGGTCACATATCAAGTAGATGAAATGTAACAGTAAAAAATAAAATTTAACCAGGTTTGTCAAAAGAGTCAATTCAATTCAATTCAATTTTATTTGGAATATGTTAATATACAATTTATTAATATTATGGTTAGGACCACTAGGAGTTTGAGGAAAGCAGCCTAAGCAACGGTGGCTTGTAATGTGCTTCCATCTGTCTCCCCGTGGAAGTACTTTAAAAATATATCAGGCACAAAAGTAATAAAAGATTAAATAACTGTTGCAGTTGTATTAGTGAGTAGACAGAGGAAACTGGTATATTTTATGAGAATAAGTACCTATAATTATCTATACATGTAGGTTTACATAATATTGGAAATAGGTACACATACACTGAAAGACACATTGGAAGATTAGAAAATGTACTGAGTGATATTTCTGTGTTATTGGGTATGTTTGAATAAACTGTTTATACGGGTATTATTTACAATTATGAATTCTTTTGTATTTTTTTTATACTTTAAAAATGTGGTATTTATCTTTATTTCAAGGGGAAGAATGTTATACAGTTTTGGAGCGAAATAGTAGACTGAACGTTGGGTATGACTTTTTTTGTAAAGGGGTATATCAATGGATAAATTATGTACATTTCTGGTGTACTTTGTATTTGCCTTAGAATAATTGATATTGTTTGAGTATATCCATATATGACACTGGTGTGCATACAAACTTCTTATATCAAGCAGATTAGTTTCAGAATAGAGTTTTTCTGTATCAAATTGTCTGTTTTTTTTTTCAGCATTTTTAAAACTGTATTCTGGAGCACCTGTACAATATTTAGCACATTCTCAAACATTCCACCCCACACTGTGATACAATATCGTATAACTGACTCAACAAGACATTTGTAAACAATAATTAAGCTTTTTTTTGTGAGTATATCCTTGAGTTCATACATTTTATAGTTAAGATGTCTAAGTCTTTTTACTATATATTGCAAACTCCTAAATACTTTAGTTTAGTTACTTTTTCAATATATGGACATTCACAAATGGTTTCAGAACACTTTGGCATATGTTAATAAATTTTTTGTTGGACAGGTTGGTGGTTGCTCAGAAGAGTGAAAGTAATAAATTTCGATTTTTCAACATTAAGGTTGAGAAGATTGTTACTTAACCAAATTTGTATTTTACCCAAACACTCTTCTGCTACTTTATATACCTGTTGCCATGTATCACCTGTACAGATAATTGCAGTATCGTCAGCATATGATATGAGGTGCCCTTTGAAATTATTTATGCGACTTAAACTATTAATATATGCTAAAAATAGTATTGGGCCTAAAACGGTACCTTGAGGTACGCCACTAGAGTAGTTTGTATAGTCCCTTTCAAAAGATTTTAAAAAACAACCACACATAATTTGAACATGAGTTCACATGTCATGGCAATAAAATATGATATATCACGCTATAAAATATTATTTGTTTTTTTGTTAACCATCTGACACCCCTATTGAACACTGAATTACTAAAAAAGGCTGAATTGACAATACTCCGGTACCTAAATGTACCTCAAGTACCTAAAGTAGTTAAGTAACCGAAAAATATTCATTGTGTCATGGATGAAACTGAAAAATGCCGATCGTTAGTCATGAACCCACAACTACCTAAACTTTATTCCTTGATTAAATTACACAAAGATAACTACCCGATAAGACCGGTAGTTTCTTTCGTCACAGCTCCTTCAATTGAAATATCTGAAAAACTCATTGCAATTATTCATAACCACACCATTTGCAAATCAAAATTCAGTTTGAGGAATTCATACCATTTGATCAAAGAAATTCAAGTTTGTTTGAAGGTGACTGACAATGTTTCATGATGAATTTCACTAGTTCGGACTTCCATTATCTACTATATAAAATGATTTGAAATCCCTGAAACAACTAAAAAAATTCCGCAATACAAATGCACAGAGAGTTTACATGTTTCCAACTACTATATTGAAACAGCAGAAATAATCAATCAACTCATGATAACCCCAGGAAAACTCTCAGCTATTCCCGATGGAATTCCTTTGCAATTTTTAAAAAACTGCATATTCACTCTAGCAAAACCCTTACAAACATTATTTAATCTTTCTTTATCTATGGGAATCTTCCCTGAGTTCTGGAAGCAAAGTTTTCTAACTCCAATCCACAAATCTGGTGATAAAGAAAATATTAAAAACTACCGTCCAGTGAGCAAGCAATCAGAAATTCCCAAGTTGCTGGATTGTTTGATAACTGAAAAATTAACATTCGATACAAAAAACATAATAAATGAACACCAACATGGCTTTATATCTGGTAGATCCACCACTACGAATTTACTGCTTTATCAACATTTTCTTTTGAATAACCTAGAGGAAAAATACCAAATTGACTCTATTTATACTGATTTCTCTAAAGCCTTTGACAGGGTAAATCATGATCTTCTCATGGCTAAGCTCCTAGCATTAGGCATCAATGGTAACATCTCAAAATGGATAAAGAGTTATTTGGATAATAGAAATCAGTATGCTGAATATGCTGGTTCCATATCATCACAAATTCCTGTAACGTCTGGTGTCCCTCAAGGATCGCATAAAGGTCCAATACTCTTCATTCTGTTTGTAAACGATGTGTCGGATGTCATACGCCACAGCTATTATTCAATGTTTGCAGATGATCTCAAACTTTACCGGGTTGTAGATAACTTTTATGATGCAGAAGTGTTACAGATAGATTTAAATAACTTATCTCGTTGGTGTGATGAAAATATGCTTCATTTAGATATAAATAAATGTTATCAAATAACATTTTCAAAAGCTGTTAAACATATTGTATATCCATATAAAATCAAAAACATTAATCTAACGTTGACTAACAGCGTTCGGGACTTGGAGAGTGTTGTTTGATAGCAAAGTAACCTTTAAAGGTCATATTGATCACGTTACGCACAAATTATTGGGATTTGTTCAAATAATTGCGTGATATGGAGTCCTGTATATCAGACAGATATATCTATGATTGAGAAAGTACAAAACAAATTTCTGAGATCATGTGCATTTAAGCTCGGTTACCTATCTGAAGTCCGACTATGAGTACTCAGACATTCTGCTTCTTTTGAATTTATCTACTTTGGAGCACCGCCGAGCTGAAATTGATCTAAGACTTCTTCATAAAGTTATAAATGGTGATATGAACTGTCCATTTCTAACACAAATGATTAACTTCAATATAAATTCAAGAAGAACCAGAGTGTCGGGGTTGTTTAAAGTTCCTTACCATTCTACTAGCTATGGCCTAAATGAAATCATCACTAGAACGCTTAGGTTAGCAAATAAGAACAGCAGCTATATTGATTTGTTTGACTCATCCTTGTAGTCTTTTAAAAATCAGGTTAAAAGTATTGACCTACTATGAAGAAACTGCTGATTATTATTATTAATAATTAATTGATATTTTTCTTTTTTTTTCTTTTAACGGTATTCTATATTATTATTCAATTGTATATTTTTTCAATCACACTATTTATGTCTTCATTGTATAATGGCAAGTCAGTAAATAAATAAATAAATGAATAAATTCGCCATTTTTGAATCTATTCATTAGCGAAACACGTATCGCGGTTTTTATAGAATAGAATAGAATAGAAGTTTATTCATCACTAAAGTTCACATGTACAACATAAAAATAGTGTAAATACATGAAACTTATTGGACTAGTCACAAAGAGAGCTTAAAAGTAATTAAAATTTACAAGATTATACATATACATTTTTGATAAGTAAAATATTAAAATATACAATGAACATCAACAATTTAAAAATTCTTGAAGAGAGTAGAACACCTTGTTTTTTAAAAATTCATTCAACCAACATTTTAGTTCATTCCTACTCATTAAACTTAACTCAGGATGAATAGCCATGAGTTTGTTATAACATTTAATACCTTGATATACATGGGAGTCTTGACCAACTCCTAATCGTGAGTATGGCTGGTATAATCTTTCACTGTTTCTTGTACAGTAATTATGTATATCTTTTTTTTTCCTCAAATAATTTTCATCTTTTTTAACGTATAATATGATCTGCAGCACATAAAGTGAGGGGACTGTGAGANTTTTTTTAAAGGAAAAGCAATGTTGTAACAATATTGAAATGTGAAACCCTTTATGGTGAAAACCACACAATAAACTGCATAAATTAGTTTTAGTAACAGTCCCTTCAGATTTTTAAGAAAGGTGAAAATTTCAGTTTCAGAAAGTAGAATACCACAATTAATATTAATATTATTGTTAGTAATAGTCTCCAAAGATCATTACAGCCGACTTTTTGGTGTTTAATCTTCAATTTATAAGATGGTGAGATATCAAAGATTGTGTGATCATGAGAAAATTGAAAAGATGAGTAAAGTTGAGTATCATCTGCGTAATAATGAGTGTAGCATATTTCTACCGACTGGTGGAATTTACAACAAACTGAATAGTAAAGAATCAAGGATGAATCCTTGAGGAACATCTTCAATTAAGGGTAAAGCCTCTGAACTGATACTGTCCACTACAACTATTTGAGTTTGATTCAATAGGTAATTTCCAACCAGAGACAACGCATTCACAGAAAAACTGAATAAGCTGAGTTCATCGCACAGGATGTCAAACTCAAGAGTGTCGTAGGCTTTACTGTAGTGCTGTGTTGAGGTATGAAACCGGACTGCACGGATGTGATGATTTGGTATTCATTTACGAAGCTGCAAATTTGGTACTTTCTCGTTTCTCTTATAATACCTGAAACAATAGCATGATAACCAAAAAAAAAATTCAAATCGGTAGCCAGGCGGATCGAGGTGGGTGCTTGGTTCACTCACTCGAATTGACTGCCGTGTTGGTCGGTGGTTCAAGCCCTAGTCTGAACGATTGATTTTCACTTGCTATCGTCCAACCCGTCTTAAGAATCACTAGTTAAAAGGTAAGACCTCGTTAATCTTTAGCTCGCACAAGTTTAGACTTCTGAGGGTTGTCGTGCGTAGGGGTGCGACAGCTGGTTAACGGAAAAACAGATTTTAAACAGATTTAAACAGATATTTTAAGTATAAAATACTAACTGCAAATTGATGAGTAGTCTGTGAACTGGTGGCAAAGTATTTCATGGTGGTTTTTTCTGTACTCTTGGGCCTAGAAGTCCTAGTAAGACATAGTTTGTGCGTCATACGAGTGGTATATGAGAGAAATCCTTCATGATCTTGCAACACAATTGCTTTAATGAGATTATTGAATCAACCCTTTTCAGTGAGTTGCCTGTTTATAGATTTTACGGCCCCATCTTCTCCTTCTTTGTTCATGAATAAAAATTATATTGTAAAACTGTATGAAATATTTGGGTAATTTCTGGGTCATCATCCATTTTCATAAAGCTTCTAATTATTAGAGAATAGACTTATGGTTAAAAAATACTTGATAATAAATCTACAACAATCGATACTACAGATTTATTTTTTTTTCCATGAAATCTAAATGCTCAAGCATTTGCGTACTATTTTCTTATTACTTTTTAATTGAGCATGCTTACGTGTAACTCATTCCTTGCTAGTACATAATTGTTACTTGCTACTTCATTGTGTATCTGTATTCCATTTTCACTTGGTAGTAGGTATCCACCGGACAAAAAATACATACAAAGGTTAGGACTGAAAAAAAAAATTTGGATTGAGGTGTAAATTACCTAGCTGAACCCTAAAACACTGTGCTAAAACCACATAATACAAAAGAAACTCTGCTAACAGGATCAGAGTTAGTATAAGATAGTATTTTGTGGTATAAGAGGAGTTCGTAAATTCATAAAATGAATTAAATGGATTCATTTTATCACCATGTAAATGCTGTCAAATGACATCACCAGCTAGTTTACGGTGAACCCGATCAGTTGTTAATCAATTTTACAGAAAATCTTCAACTTTCCAGCAGACAGTGGGGATATCATAAGAAACTTAGTTGGATGTTCCTTTGGAAACATATTGCATCCTCCACCTTGAACTTGACGTTTATTTACAGTTTTATAAATTCATTAAATGAAGAATAATCAATAATAGTACCACAAATACATATGTGTAAAATTTACCCGATAGAAAAATGTAACAAAAGTTTATTTTTCAAATTTTCAGTGTTTCTGAATAACACTACAGAAAAACTGGAATGATTTGTTTTCAGTACAAAAAATTCTCAATGAATATCATTTCTAATTTCATTTTGTAAAAAACTGCCTGAAATAAGACAAAAGGCAACAATAAGGCAGACAAGGCACTCCGCTGATTGATAGCAACTAAACTATATCCATCCAACAAACAAAGCAATCCAAACAAAGATAGATGCCTGATTTTTTTACTTATCTTTTTTTGTAATCAGTTCATTGGTTTGTGCCTTGTACTAGAAGTGTCTGGTGATAATTGGAATGTGGCTCCACTTTCTATAATGTAATTTATAATTTACAATTCCTAACTTGTAATTAAACCGTTTTCTTCATTATATTCCAGCCTAACCTCAAGTTTATAGTTAAAATTTTCGAATCAAATATCGGAAGAACGTAAATTCAAAGTCGGAAATATAAAAAAAATAGTGTGGCCCTTCTACGCTTTCGTACAACTGTAAGAATATGCATAAATATGAAATGAAATGTAAATAAGTAGATTAATGTATAACCACAGATTAAATAGTATAACCACACAACACAGTTGTCCAGAGTTTTTTCCACTTGGCGTACGTTGAAAATTGATTAGAGAGAGACAGAGAGAAGTAAACTTGGCAACTCGGTTTGTTGCTTAGCGACAGGTATTTGTGTTTGAAAACAAATAAATCAAATTTGAAATATATTGTAAGTCACCTAAAACAGGTAACTTTCGAATTATCTGTATGGTAAAAGGGGTTTTACGTTACAAATAAAAACTATGACATTATATTCAGAGAATCCTGTGGAATTTCCAGAAGCAGGTTCAATTTCGGTAAATGGAATATGGCATTCCATCAATCCTCTGCTAGCAGTAGCTAGTTTTTCTCAAGAAAGAGGTGGTTTTGTCATAATTTTTGATGATTTGGTAAGTATATTATTTATTCATTTACTGAGTGAACATTAATATAGAAATGGGAAAGTTCTACATTGCAGTCATATTCCTGCAATACAAATAATCAATAATAGAGATCTATACATTTTTGTTTTTTGAAGGTACCTCTATGTGTACCAATTGTAATTATCAACTATGTCTCTTTCATTACATAGTGAAATGTAAAGTGGTTTTGTTATTGTTATTCACTATTTTGAATGACCACTTTAAATACTTTTCAATAAGTATAGGCATTCAATTTTTGAGAAAATGTCTTTGAATTTTCTTGAAAAATATAGTCTGTTTACCTATAGTATTCAATCATCATTGACTGGGATTGAGTAAATTATCCTCCACAATATATAATAAGTTGCTAGAATATATAAACCACTGCTTTTCAGTGCATCACAATCACTGCTTTTCTGTTAAAAGCATTTAGTTGCATCTTCCATTCCTTTAGAGTAATAGAAACACTATTATTTTTATGTTACATTTCATTCACCCAATGTTCTGGCTTGTCTGGGTACTCTCTTATTCACATTTCATATTAACTTTCTACTACTGGTATCCAGTCTCACATACCTGAGCAATCTTTTATCTTGGATATTGCAGTGGTATACTGCATACAGCTTCCTAACTTCTGTTTTAACTCTAGTGAGTTGCGCCAACATTAGTTGTATACTTTTTGAGTCATTAAGCATTTGGTTCTGATTCACATGTAATTTACTTATAGCGGATCCCATATCTGTAGATTACAAATATGATATCTCCACAACAACATGGATTTGTTGCTAATATATCAACTATGACAAACCTACTTGTTCATGAAAATTACATATTAGGTGCTTTGGAGAAAATATGACTCTATCTATACAGATTTTTGTAAAGCATTTGATAGGGTCAACCAAAATTTACTTATCGCCAAACTGTATTTGTTAGGTTTTTATGGACCAAATTTTTATAACAAATTGTAATTGGGACTACCCGTTGAATAAATAAATAAATAGATATTTTGAATTAGTTAAAAGAAAGTAATGATGATAATGATAGCATGAAAAATGAAAAATCAGCATTATTTCTCATTTTTCATGATGATCCACTACCACGTAGTAACAGCTACATCCTTCAGTTTATAACTAATAATAACAGTTTATTTAGCACAAGAGATTTAGAATAAAAATACAGTTTTATAAGGCAATTAAAAGATATGGAATACATATTTGAATAAATGTTAGTATTAAAAAGTAAAACTGAAACCTCTGGCGTAGAATAAATCCAAAGCAAACATTTTCTTCAGACACCAGAACCGCAATAGTGTTAGGTTAGGTCTAAAGAGAGTGTGCCTATTCGACCCTCCACCGCAACTCGCAAGGGTTTATTGTGGCTCACACCTGTTCACACTCGGCCAAATAAACCCAGCTTCTGAACGAAGCTGATAAGCTGGTGAGTGGTGTTTCAGGTCAGAACTCTAAAAACTTGATTCGGTCCCCAGCGGGGCTGGTACAAAGTATGTGCTCTGCTGTTTCATCATTTTCCAAACAGAGGCGACACACACTGTCTTCCGATAGTCCGAGTCTCTGCATATGATGATTCAAATGACAGTGACCTGTAAGAAGGCCTGTTAGACATTGTAGTTCATCCCTATTGGAGTGAGCCAATCCTGGAAGATTCTGCCAGAAGTCCATAAATCTTCTTGCCATTCAGGTGTTCAATGTTTGTTTGGCAAAGCCTAAAGCTATGCCAATGACAGGTTCTGGTCTGATGAAGCTGCTCGCAGCACCCTCCTTTGCAAGGGAGTCAGCAGTTTCATTGCCTTTGAGGCCAGAGGCTAGCCTCCTCTAACGCTATAATTTCTGCAACTGAAATTACAAATCGGGACGTATGTCGCTGGTTGAATCGGTCTCGGGGAGCCTTTGTATTTTAAAACTGTCAGAGGCTTGGCTCCCTTGCAACGTATGGCATTTATTATTTCGGGTTGATGGTTTATTCGTTCATGGGCGGTGCGTTTGAGTTTTATTGATGAAGGATACAGTGTGGTACGTACTACGTAGTGAGTGATAGTGTTTTTTCGGGCATATTATGATAACCAAGCATTTTTAGAAAAAAATAATCATAATTACTTGTCAATATCTTTCAATTCATTGCGAAGAATAGCCTCAAATTTTATGGGGAAGCTAAGCCTCCCTTGCCTCCTCTGGGATTGAGCCATAGGTGTGACGTTTGGCTAGTTCCGCAATTGTCGAAGTCATCAGGCCGTAGGTGCCACTGCGGCCTGATGACTTCGACACAAACACTTTAACTGAAACTTCAGGCTAATACTCAAATGTCTATCGCCTTATTAGATCACCTCACTAGACTTGCCCCATCTGCCTGTTGGTAATGTTTGATAGTCTCTGGAAGCTGATAGGGAAGTCTCTCGAAGCGACGCGATATCTAGAACGATCGAGAAACGCTAGTCGAATTGAGCGTGATCTCGGCCAAGTCACAGTCGACTGACGAAGACCAGCGGCGGCCGACGTTATTTTTTTCAGGGGATAATCAACAGCATTATCTTGAGGTTGAGTTCATACAGTTATTTTCCGATTTCAGGGAGAATCTCTGAAAGACATAAACTATCCCGTTCATAGAAGTTATCAAGTGACTGCACTTGCGTGGCATCCAGAAAGGACTATATTGATGACAGGATGGGAAAATGGAGAACTCAAAGTATGGAGTAGTCCAGAGAAAGATTTCGTCAACGTTGTTGGATCCCATAAGGCACCAATAATTTTACTGGAATTCAGTGAGAAAGGAGGACGTTTGGTTTCATGTGACTCGGTATGTAATATTTTACGATTGTTTCATAGAATAAATAGTATAAACTGAATTTGCACATTCATTCAGCATGGTCTCTCAGATTTTTGTAGATATGAAAAATAACCTCGTTTCTGAGACAATCTATGAGATGTTTTATAAAACTAGCTTTAGATGTCTGCTTTTGATATGCATATTTGATACGTTTCTAGAGAGTAACTGTATATATGATTTTCAGAAACTGTTTTTTGGTACATATAAATTTTGTTTGTTTGGTTTATTTTTTCATCAAGAAGTAAACGTAATTCACACAAACAACCTTTTACTATCATATTTTGTTGGACCATTTTTTGTCTTCATAAACAGACTTCCTGCATTAAGTTAACTAACGGAAGTCACTTGGTGGGAAATATATATTTTGTAGTCATCGTCTGTAGGTGTTATTCCTACTTCAACTTTCACCAGTTACACAGATAGGGTTAAAAAATTCCCCAATAAATATAATACATGTTGCACAAGTTGCCTTACCTATTAGGTCGTTTCAGAAGTTTTTTCCGTTTAAATGTCACGTGTTTTTGTAACTCTATGTCTCAATAAATATTTATTCTATGTCGTGGTATATACTGACAGATAGACAGTTTCGTACTCTATACATTGATGCTGTTCATTTTTTTNTCGGTTGATCTAGACATCGTTAAAAAGTGGTGTGATGCTAACAGACTGGCATTCAATACCACAAAAACCTGCATACTAACCTTTAAATGTATATTAAATGAAATTTTTCTAGGGAATACTTTAATTAGCTCCGTCTCATCAAGTAAATTCTTGGGTTTGCATGTAGATAATAATCTATCCTTTGATATCCACATCTCTAATCTATGTAATAGGATGGCTTCGGGATGCTATGTTTTAAGGGTTATTACCAGAGAACTCAACTTGCAAGCTGCAAGAACAGTCTATTTTGCGGTAATAGAATCCCGCCTAAGATATGGAATTTGCTTCTGGGGTAATGCTTCTCAGTTCTTGTTACAGTCTGTGTTTATCTTACAAAAGAGAGCGGTTAGATATATTTGTAAGGCAAAACCGAGAGATTGCTGTAAACCCCTGTTTATTGATCAAAAAATCTTGACTCTGACATGCATTTTTATCCTTGAAAGTGTGTGTATGATGCACAAAAAATTTAATACTACCAGTGATTCAACAAACTCTTATAATACTAGGCATAATAGCCACTTAATAGCACTACCCATTCCTAAAAGCGCATTAATAAAAAAATGCATAATATACAATGCAAGGAAAATGTTCAATCATTTGCCAGTATATCTTCGCTCCACTTCTTCATATAAAAATTTTCGAAGTGCTGTAAAATGTTTTTTGCTAAATAAAGCTTTTTATACTTTAGACGAATATTATAATGAAGATTTTGACTAACATTGCAATCACTTGTATACGCACTTTATATTATTTTACTTGGTTTTATTATTTTAAGGTGTTTATTTAATTTTGAATTGATCCCTTTGTGTTACATATGTATATGTGTGTGTGTGTGTGTGTATATATAGATATATGTGTACATACATAAATGTATTTCTAAACTTTGTTAACAAGAATTCTGTTCTTTGGACAATAAAGTTCTTTCTCTCTCTCTCTCTCAAGGTTAGGTTAGGTCTAAAGTGAGTGGTTACATTCGACCTTCCACCGCAACACACAGTCTTCCGACAATCCGAGTCTTTGCATATGATGACTCAAATGACGATGACCTGTAAGAAGGCCTGTTAGACATCGTAGTTCATCCCTACTGTAGTCCAACAACTGTTTGGTATCAAGCTTCGAAGGGTGAAGAAACGCCTTGGAGTGAGCCAATCCTGGAAGATTCTGTCAGAAGTCCATACATCTTCTTGCCATCCAGGTGTTCAATGTTTGTTTGGCAAAGCCTAAAGCGATGCCAATGACAGGTTCTGGTCCGATGAAGATGCTTGCAACAGCTTCATTGCCTTCCAGGCCAGTATGGCCAGGAATCCAGACCAGAGATAATCTGTTAAGTCTTCCTATCGAGAAGAGTCGTTTTTGGCAATTTGCTACCAACTTAGACGTTGTTCGATAGGAGCCAAGAGCTTTCAACGCCGCATGACTGTCCGATAATATTTTTATTGACTTGTGTATGAGGTTGGATTCTTCCAATCTCTCTGCACACAATTCAATAGCGTAAATTTCCGCATGACAGAAATACTGGGTCCAGTACTGTTCACTATTTTTGTCAGTGATATCACCTCAACATGCAAACAAGCGCACAAAATAATGTATGCAGACGACAGAACTATGATAGTGAGAGAAAACAACTTAGCAAAAACAGTAGAAACTGCCAACACCGTTGCAAACCAATTTCACACATGGTGTACCAGTACGGGCTTGTGTGTGAACAGAGAAAAATCAAATTTTATCTCATTCATTCCAAAAAACATCAATAATACGTTCTGTTCCCTGGAAAACCATATTAACAGCTTATGTAATAAACTGAGTAAAAACTGCTTTGTACTAAGGCAATTGAAGAATACAGTGTCAATGGACGTGCTGTTATTGGTTTACTATGGTTTGATACAATCAAATATATCCTATGGGTTGATATTTTGGGGAGGCTCAACTCAAATAGAAAAAGTATTTCTACAGCAAAAGAAAATTATTAAATGCATAAAAGGGGTACATCAAAGAATATCATACAAAGAAATATTTACTGAATTATCTATTCTAACTGTGCCATCATTGTACATATTTCAAACTATTTTAAAGGTAAAAAAACAATTGGAAGTACTACCTACAAATATTGCTCACCATAACTATAATACACGAAGTGCAGGGAATTTGCAGCAGCCGTTTTCGAGACTTGCCATTGGTCAATGCTCTCACATTTACAAAGCCAAGAACAAATATGGCAGTGAAAAAAATTTCAATGTTTTTAAAACTTTTAAATCTCTTTTGAGTAAGTTCTTGCTGAGAAAAGCATTCTATTCCGTGAAGGAATTTTTAAATGACTGAATATGACCTTTTTAACCTTTTTCAACAAATTT